GGCGGGGGGGGGGGGGGGCTGGGTTTAACGCTGGGCTGCAGTGACTGCACGATAGATACACCCAAGTTCATCCCTAGAGCAGTTCGGGGACTTCAGAGGAGTTGCATTAGGGATGAATTTAGCTCAGTGAATTAGGCTCTGAATGGAGGGAAGATGCTGAATCCACCATTTGGGCCATTAGCCAGAGAACTTGGAACTTGTTGAGATTTCTGGAATATATCCACTCCCATTGATGTAAGGAGAGGATGTGGATAGATACACCCAAGTTCATCCCTAGAGCAGTTCGGGGACTTCAGAGGAGTTGCATTAGGGATGAATTTAGCTCAGTGAATTAGGCTCTGAATGGAGGGAAGATGCTGAATCCACCATTTGGGCCATTAGCCAGAGAACTTGGAACTTGTTGAGATTTCTGGAATATATCCACTCCCATTGATGTAAGGAGAGGATGTGGCACGCATGCAGCGTTCACTGTGACACTTAGGTTAAATATTATTCAATGTTCCCTTTTGTAGTCAACTAACGTTGGACCTGACCTGTGTTCCCTGCCCGCTGAGCGCTTAGGTGGCCGCCCAGGAGAGATTCAAATGCTGCCCAACTGATTAGCAGAATGCCCACTGGGCTCACAACCGGTATCATGTGTTTCTACTGGAGGTGCACCTCCCGTAACAAAATTTATTCCACAGCTGAATGGGGAAAAAAAAATTAGAGGAAACATTGGATCTGACCAAGACAAGCAGTTTGGAACCCCCTGGAGGGTGTGTGTGTGTGGAACCCCCTGGAGGGCGGGTGTGTGTGTGTGTGTATGCGTGCCCAGGCACTATCACTGCTCCTGCAGCAGCCAGCGCCCTGGGCCCTGTAAATGACTGTGAAGGAGCTATGCTGACTGCTCTGCGAGGCGCCATGGGTTGGGGAGGAGCATGCCACACTCCAGGTAGTGCAGAGGTCTAGCTGCACGAGCCTCACTCCTTCCACCTGAAGCCCCGTCCATTTCTGGGAGCCCGGAGCCAGGTCCGCCACCCCCACACCTTGCCTAGGGCCTGTGCAGGCTGCCAGCTCCCTTGTCTGCATGTCTTGGGCCCATCCCTAGTGAACCAGCTCCCAGTGTTCACTACGGATTTGCCTTTGGCCTCCCCGGCTTTCAGCTGCTTCCCTTCTGCTCATCCACGTGATAACCTGCCAAGGAGAGCCGTGCCACAAGGACTCAGTTGGGCGTTTACGAGCCCCTGTGTTGTACGCTAGCTAAACACACAGGCTGCGTCTAGACTGGCATGATTTTGCACAAATGCTTTGAATGGAAAAGTTTTTCCATTAAAAGTATTTGTGCAAGAGAGCGTCTATACTGGCACGTATGCTTTTGCGCAAAAGCCATCTTTTGCACAAAAGCATCCATGCCAGTGTAGACACTCTCTTGTGCAAGAAAGCGCGGATGGCCATTTTAGACATCGGGCTTTCTTGCGCAAAAAATCAACTTGTCTGTCTACACTTGCCCTCTTGCGCAAGAATACTTGTGCAAGAGGGCTTATCCCTGAGTGGGAGCGTCGGAGTATTTGTGCAAGAACCACTGATTTTGTACAGTACAAAGTCAGTGTTCTTGCGCAAATACTCGCTGCCAGCAAGCGCCCCCCTGCCAGTCTAGACAGGCGGCAAGATTTTGCGCAAAAGTG